TTTATGCGTTTTTTTTTAAAAAAAAGTTATCAAGCTCTTAAAAAATCACCCGTTATTAGCAAATTTCAGTTCATCTAAAGTTTCTAAGGCGTTGTTCACTTTTACTTGAGAATTGTCAAAATCGGCTTTACACTGTCAAAGAAAAAAATTGCCAAAACTCAACGCAGCTTCAGTCTTGCACTTTATTATACTAAAATTATTTCTTTTTTAGATTCTAATTAAAATGTTTGCAATTTAAGTGAAACCTTGCAGAATTTTTTTAATTTTTATACAAAGTTTGATACAAAACCGGAGATCTACCACATTTTTTTTTTAAATCTACCACTTTTTTTCCAGATTCTACCACACAGAATTTTTTTAAGTCCGATCACTGGCGGTATACCGAAAATAAAGCTTCTTTTTTGATAAGAAACTTGTTTAGCAATCTTTCTATCAACAATACAACATTTTGCAAATAAAAAAATAAGAGCGTCGCTGTCTTCGGGTGAGTTTTATTACTTAGTGCCTCCAGTACTCCAGCCAATTTCGATATATACATATATAACGTGATGCAATTGGTATCTCTTCACATATAATTTAAATTTTGTTTGCAAACGCAAATGACAAAATTAATATAAAAGCTTTAATTCCAGATTTTTTCAGATGCTGCTATTATTATTTTCTTCCATATAAAAATAAAAATAAATTTCGACAATACTTTGTATGGAAGAAAATGCGTGCCAGCAAAAACAAAAAATTATCAAAAATCAAGCGAATTCTTCACCACTGGGAACTTTCACTTTTAAAGCCAGAATTTAATGGGCTATAAATCTGCGTACTTAGAACTTTTCTAATAAAAGCTTGTTTTTGTTGCAAAATTTTTTTGGTTTTTTTTTAATTTTCCTTTAAAGTATTGTGTATCTTCGTGAGTTTGTATATTTGCAATACCTTTAATATAAATTCGGGTAAAATATATAAGTTTATAAGTAAAACAATTTTCATTGAAGATTTATACAATAAAATATACATATATTTATAATAAAATAGAAATGCACATAACCACATACATAAGTACAAATAGTCTTATTTGCAATACCGATCGCATGCCATTACTTCCGAGTTCCAGTAAAGATTATTCGCGCAGGTATGCACCGTAGCAAAGCCATCGCATTGGATGAATTTATGACAGTCATACGGGTGACGTACATAATCAACGCCGGGTGTACTACATAAAGTCAACAAGCGCGCGGGCTCGTCTTCGTAAGCTGGCGCGATTGAGGCGGGCATTAGTTCACCGTTAGCATATGCTGGAGGTGTTGCAGCGGTCGGTATTGAATTATCTATGAATGGTGGTTGCGTCCACATTTGTGCAGAAGCATCGCAAATGGTATTTTGTGGTGAATCACA